CCCTAAACCCTAAACCCTAAACCCTAAACCCCAACCCTAAACCCTAAACCCTAAACTGCACAGGGCCATCGCTATGGCATCGTGGGCTCCAATGGCACAGGCGGCGCTGCCTTCGAGCCGACCCTAAAGTCCTGAGTTCCGAAGACTCTGGTTTCCTAAACCCTAATTTTCTAAACCTTTTGGGGTTTAGGGTTTAGGGTCTCAACCCTAAACCCCACACCCTAGACCCTGAAGCCTAAACATCCTACACCTTCTAAGGCCTAAGCCCTACTTTAGGGGGTTTCCTAAACCCGGTTCAGCCCCTAAAACTCTGCACGCCCCAAACTACGTAGATAATAGACTGTAACTCCCTAAACCCTAAATCCTGAATCCTGGACCCGAACTCTCCCCAGCAGAAGCAACCAGAAGCTTCCCACTGAACACGGGCCACTGCCGGTCATCAGGAAGCATTAGGGCTACGAAGGTTATTAAGGACATATAATTAGGGTCATTCGGGTTATTAGGGTTGTTACTAGTTATAAACCCCAAACCCTAAACCCTAAACCCTCTGAGCATACATAGGGTTATTAGGGCTATTGCTCTCACCTGGAGGTAAGACCACGCTGATGGAGCGCATCGCGGATGGGGCGATTGCGGCCGGGAGCCGAGTTCATGCAGAGGCCGCAAAGAAGCAGAGATCTTCCTTGAACCCTCAAAGCCCAAAATCCTGGAAGCCTAGAACACGCAAAGTCCTAAATCCTGCCCCTTATAATTCTAAAACCCTACATCAGGAAGCCTAACGGCTTCAAGTCCTCAAACCTAAAGCCCTGAAGCCCCCAGGCCCTCGAGGCAAACCCTGAAATGTTAAGGGGCCTTGAAGGTTTAGGGTTTTGGGTTCAGGGTTTAGGGTGCTCTATTAAATCGGGGTCTTTGGGTGGCTGCCCTTATATAGTACGGCACCTTCTCCAAAAGGGGACCCTGATTCAGAGGAACTACCCATACGCGGTTGAGGGTTTATAGGGTTTAGAGGGCCTAGTGGGCTCTCAGGGGTGTCCTTATGGGGTTTATTTATAGGCTTGAGACCCACCAAAGGCCTGCTCCACAGGAAGCATCACTGGGGTTTAGGGTTTAGGGTTTGGGGTTTGGGGTTTGGGGTTTAGGGTTAGGGATCTCCGAAACATCTTGAAATTTTAGGGCCCTGAGATTGGGGGTTGCTGTTTTTGGCTTCCTGACGAGGACTCCATTGGCTTTCGGGCTACAGCAAGGGAGAGATAATTTGCGGAAACTTTCGCATATCCTTGCGCGCTTGGCTAAACGCGTTTTGGCCGGCCAGTATGCTGCCAAGGAGCTTTCTTACACCTCCTTGCGCTTTGCCGCGTTCTCAGCGCAGCAGTTCGGATGATGATGCCAACTTAGATCCAAACATTTGTGGAGAGCATACCTAGTATTCTTGAAAATAAGTTCCTTGAATCCTTTTACAACCCTTCAACGGAATACATAGGGTACATCTGATTCTTACTTCCCTGCTAAGAACCAGCAAGTTTTTAGCTTTCGGGTTCCACAAGGCTCAGTGCTATCCACTTCAACGATGGGTTTTGCCAGAACCACCAATACAAATAACATCAATGTGGCAGCCCCAATAGATCGTGATGATTTTCCACCCATGAAAATTGCAAAGCCCTGTGCGCCTGCGTTCATATCGAGAACGAAGCAGCCGAAGTTCTGTGATCACTACAACATCTCTCACGACGGCTCATCATGAGATAATGGAACCGCAACTCTACATCGTAAATCCAGAACCCTGAAGTCTTAGGGTTTAGGGTTTAGGGTTTAGGGTTTAGGGTTTAGGGTTTAGGGTCCGAACCAATAGCCGCCAGGTACATATTCACCATGAGTCGCTCAGCGAGTGCTGGCAGCTCAGCTGGTCGTATTGGACACTCGAAGTCCCACATCTAAACACCGCCCCCCCCCCCCCCCCCCCCCCCCCCCAAAAAAAAAAAAGAGATAATAACAAGAATAATAATAACAATAATAGTAATGATCATACTAAATAATATTCATAATAATGATTCTGATAATAACAATAATAATAATAATAAAACCTCCACATGTGCACCGAAAGCCGTCGGAACTGTCCAGCCTCCAGTACTGCCTTCCTTGAAATGTGCTTGCGCTTCCTGTAGCAGGGCTTGCCAGACGTTGGCAAAGGTGTAGACAAGTCGCTGACGGCTGCAGCTTATGCGCGAGAGGCAGGGCTCACAGCGTCAGCAAGAAACCTTGATTTTTTGCCAGGGTTTTACCACCCTAAACCCTAAACCCTAAACCCCCAACCCCAAACCCCAAACCCTAAACCTAAACCTTAGAGCTGGGCACATCGCCATGGCCATAGCCGGAGAGGCATGCCTCCATTGCAACCGTAGCAGACTGGCCCCGTGTCTACCCTACGTCGGGCAGCTTGACCCTAAACCCTATAAAGTTTAAACCCTAAACCAAAGAATCGCATGCCCGAGGTTTTCAGGCCCCTAAACCAGCCCTAAGCCCTAAACCAACAGTAAACCCTAAACCAGCCGACGCCCCGAATTCCGTGATTCTTAGCCTCCCACACTTAGGGCAGCCTCTGGCTGAGATCTCACAGTTCGGATCCACCCCAAGCCCTGAACCCGATCGCCCCTTAGGAATTAATTTTGTACGCTTTTTTTAACTCAAGAATATTTGAAGGCTGTGTTTTTTTTTTTAAGGTTCTAGGGGGAGTATGGAACCTAGCTGGTGCGCGTCTTTCTTGGTTTGGGGTAGGGTTGCGGTTGTAGGGTTTAGGGTTTAGCTTCTGTTGATGAGTTTGCCTTCTTCCGTTTTCCGGCCGTTGTGTCGCCAGGGGGGGACGGGGGGGACTGATTGCATGCAGGCAGGATTTGGCATGAGTCCGGAGTACTTTGGACTAAACTTTGCGACACTACCCCACAGACCAAACTTCGCACTGTTCTGAGACCTAGGCTCTCACTCTCATGATTACCCCCCATAGTTCGGAGATTTTGATGCTTGAGGTTTAGGGTTGATAAGGCTGATATGACAATCTAGGACCCGGAGTAGGCCCTCATTTCCTCTTTTTAGGGTTGGGTTCTCTCATAATCTCCTTAAAACAAAAAGGGTTTAGGGTTTAGGGTTTAGGGTTTAGGGTTATTCCTAGGTTACTCCTGGTCCAGCAATTCATGCTGCGCCTTCGTTAGTGTGCGGCCCTCCCCTCTAAACGGTCGCCCTTAGAACCATCCCCCGGATTTTAAAGGGCTGTTTACAGGGTTTAGGGTTTAGGGTTAGGGTTTAGGGTTTAGGGTTTAGGGTTTAGGGTTTAGGTCTAGGGGATGAGCAGTTTGAAAGGGTTTAGACAGGAAAGCCTGATAGCCCGGCAAGCTTGGGTTTGTAGGGGGCGCATGCCGCCTCATCTGCAGAGGAATTATGTAGGTGCTCGTACGCGGGTGTCCAAACCTCTTCGGCCGAACCCCCAAACCCTTAAAGTTAAACCCCCAAACCCTAAACCCTAAACCCTAAACCCTAAACCCTCAACCCTCAACCCTCAACCCTCAACCCTCAACCCTCAACCCTCAACCCTCAACCCTCAACCCTCAACCCTAAACCCTAAACCCTAAACCCTAAACCCTAAACCCTAAACCCTAAACCCTAAACCCTAAACCCAAACCCCTTAAACCCCCAAACCCCCCCAACCCCCCGGACCCTCAAACCCGGAGACTCGATCCTTGAGTTGCTGACCTTGGCAGGTTGTGGGTCCGGATATACCAATCCACTCTGCGCTGGCCGAGGCCCTCACCTTTACAGGGTGCCAAAAGGGAGGGTTTAGGGTTTAGGGTTTAGGGTTTAGGGTTTAGGGTTTAGGGTTTAGGGTTTAGGGTTTAGGGTTTAGGGTTTAGGGTTTAGGGTTTAGGGTTTAGGGTTTAGGGTTTAGGGTTTAGGGTTTAGAGGGGGGGTTCAAGGGAGGTATGTAACCCAAGGGTCCGGAATAATCCTCACTACACCCTAGGGCTCCCTAAGGTTCCCAAAGCTTCTCCAAGGTTCCCTAGGTACCGACCTTTCATGAACCCCCCTCCCCTGAGTCTTGGAGTACTATACTTTAATACTTTTTTTGGTTCTGGGTTCCTATGATAGCTACTTATACCTAAAAAGTATATACTTTTTTTCCCGGGTCTACTCCAAAGCTAAGTCCCTTAAGGACCCGACTACCATCCTTGTCCTTGATGTATTCACACTATGCGGTCTGGTGGGTGTCGGAGAAGGGCTGCCAAACCCTAAACCCGAAACCCTAAACCCTAAACCCGAAACCCTAAACCCTAAACCCTAAACCCTAATAAACCCTAAACCCTAAACCCTAAACCCTAAACCCTAAACCCTAAACCCTAAACCCTAAACCCTTACCATGAATTGGAGTTTCGGGTTTCGGGTTTTGCAAACAAGTTGTACGGTGGACTTACTCGGCAGTAGGTTGAAGGAACTCCATGCAGACCGAAGCCCTGATACCTAAATGAGACTGAAGGGTTTAGGGTTTAGTGTTTTCGGGTTTAGGGTTTAGGGTTTAGGGTTTTAGGGTCTGACTCTTCGTGGGGCAAGTTATGGCAAGTTTGACACTGTGGATTGCAGGTTCAGGGGTACCTTTCATATTTAGCTGATTTCCAGGGAGCCTTTCATTCCTTAGTTCAGTGTCCAGAGCCAACCACTCAAAACTTAAACCAAAACCCTCCAACCCCCCAAGCCTCTAAACCTGCGGTTATGCGGACCAAAACCCTAAACCGTAAACCCTAAACCCTAAACCCTTTTGGTAGGCCTTCAGGGGTTTCGAGGATAAGCCCTGACTCAACAAGCTCCTTCTGAAAGGTCGGCTTCACAAACGCCCGAAGCTTGGACGGCCCGCTGCAAGTGTGGTAGTGTAAGATGATAGTTGAGGGTTTAGGGTTTAGGGTTTAGGGTTTAGGGTTTAGGGTTTAGGGTTTAGGGTTTAGGGTTTAGGTTTAGGGTTTAGGGTTTAGGGTTTAGGTTTAGGGTTTAGGTTTAGGGTTTATGGTTTAGAGTTTAAGGTTTAATGTCTTCCTCCAAGACCTACTAGCCCGCAGGGAGAGTAGGGTTTTGCGCTTAGGGCTCCGAGCTTTGTAGCATCTCGGGCCTTTGGTCTCGGGAATTGCGGTCTAGGGCCGAGGGTAGTTTTGTTGCTTGCAGGGTTGGATATCGGATTTAGGGTTAACCCTAAGCCCTAAAGCCTAAACCCGAAACCCGAAACCCGAAACCCTAAACCCTAAACCCTAAACCCTAAACCCTAAACCCTAAACCCTAAACCCTAAGTAAGAAACTGATAGGGTTCAGGGTTTAGGGCTCACGACTACATGCCACAGATTTCGGTTTCTGGGTTAAATTGTAAACGTAACCAGACCTCCCCAACAAGGTACCCTGCTTACAATATGGTTGCTGGGCGACCAAGGTTCTTAGAGAAAGGAACTGCTGGGGACTTAGACTACCCTACTTCCGAAGACATTGTGCAGGGAAGTTAGTTATAGGGGACTAGGAGAACTATACTTCCTAAGCCACGACTGTGAGAACAAAGGGTTTTGTTTTACGTACAGGGGTCTACTCGGCGCAGCAAGTATACCCACCACCTCCCTCCCCCCCACATCCCTAAACTCTAAACCCTAAACCCTAGACCCTAAACCATAAACCCTAACCCTAAAGGCTAAACCCTACACCCTAACCCTCCACCTCCCCCAAAGAAAGAAAGAAAACAAAAGACAAACAAACAAAAAACATCAAAACCTGAAATCCCTAAGAGCCCTAAATCCTCCAGCCCAGGCGCTGAAATCCAAGCCTGTCTGTGAGCTGTCCGGAGGCTTCCGCGGGGCAGGTTTAGGTTTGGGGTTTTGGGTTTCAGGGTTCAGGGTTTAGGGTTCAGGGTTTAGGGTTTATTAGGGTTTGGGGTGATTCTTTGCCATTTTGCAAGGAGGCTTTACATGCAAGGTGGCAGGGCCGGGCTTTGTTGAGGCTTCAGGGCTTAGGGCGGCGGTCTACGTTTCTGCGTCTTTGGCAGCAACCATCTGGCTTTGGGTTTAGGATATTGGCCACCCACCCGGTTTTGGTACTATTCTTAGGCGCCTTTCAATGAAATGACATGGGGGAAACCTCGATCCCGCATGGATGCTCCTTGCCAGGGTTCAGGGTAGCAAAAACCCAATGATATGTGTAGTTATAACCACTTACAAGCCCCTTAAGTACCCCAATTGGGGTTATAATTGGGGTATAAGCTAAGTACCATGAACCTCTAAGCAGGGTTCATGGGTCTGCGGTGGACAAGGGTGGACAAGGAGGTTCACGGGTATTTGCATGTGTGGTCATAAGCAGTAAGCAGGGTAACCATGGTTAGAAGCTTATTGAGGGTACTAAGAACCCTGCCTATATGGGGGTTTTCGAAATTAGGGGAACCTTATTGGGTCCTTACTTTCAGGGAATCTCACTATATGGGGTCTATTTTATATTCGGAAACCCCCATATGTAGTCATGAACCTTCAGAAAGGGTCCATAGTCGTGGGTTTTAGCTTATTAGGACTTCGGACAGGAGCAGGCCATGGACTTCTACATGCACAACTATTTAAAACGTATGAACCCCATGAAGCCTATGATTCGTTTGCAAAATGAGCCCCTATAGGAACCTTAAACCCTGAACCCTTTAAACCCTAAACCCTAAACCTTAAACCCTGTGAGCCATACTGCAAGGCTGGCGGGTGCGGCTGCTTCTGGCAACCGCCGTGGCCCGGCAGGCTCAGCGCATGGACTCGTTTAGGATTTTAGGGTTTAGGGTTTAGGGTTTAGGACTCGTGCCCCAAGGGTCAAGGACTTTTCAGGGATTGAGGGCGTTTTAAGGTCTAGGGTTCAGGATGTTCAGGGATTCAGAGATTCAGGCTTGCAGGGTGTGTAAAGGTACAGGGATCCAGTCTCCAGGGTTGTGGAACGTGTCTGGGTTTGGGTTCAAAGTTTTAGGAACCCTAAACCCTAAACCCTAAACCCTAAACCTTAAACCCTAAACCCTAAACCCCAGGGCTTGAGGGGTTAAGGCTCCAGGAAGGTTTCCGGCTTTTAGAGGCTCAGGGATTTAGAGGTTCATGCTTCAGGGTCTTAGGAAGGTTCCGCGTTTCGCACTCACATTTCGAAGGGTAGGAGCGTGTCGTGGTTGAGAAAAGAATGGAGGTTCAGGGTTTGTCCGGGTTCTGAGATTCAGGGCTTCGGGTCTCGAAGTGTTCCATAAGCTTGGCTCCAACTACCCTATGCCTGGAGCTACAAGACCCTTTCAACCCCAAAAACCTTTGACACCCTAAACCCTAAACACCTACATCCTATCCTCCAAACCCCCGAAACTTTGAAAGCCCCCCCAAGTCTAGACCTCCCAAATCCTCAACACACCCAGAGCATAAACCCCTAGCAGCCCTTATTACCCTAAACCCTAAACCCTAAGCTTCAACTTCAAGCTCCTTTGTAGCTGAACGAATACACGTCACACCGTGTGGATGCTGTTCATCAATCCCCCATAGAACTGACAGTGTCCACTTTTGTGGGGTTTAGGGTTTAGGGTTTAGGGTTTAGGGTTTAGGGTTTAGGGTTTAGGGTTTAGGGTTTAGGGTTTAGGGTTTAGGGTTTAGGGTTTAGGGCTCAGCAACAAAGGCCCCGAAGCCCGCAAACCCTTGCTCTCCCCTTGAGGCCGACGTACTCCTACTCGACGAGCCTACGAACCATCTGGACTCGCAGGTGGGGGGAGGGGAGCCCTTCAACCCCTAAACCTCTGAGCTGCCTTCAGAGTTTAGGGTTTAGGGTTTAGAGTTTAGAGTTTAGGGTTTAGGGCCTAGGGTGTGGGGTTTAGGGTTTAAGGAGTGTACGGGCTCAGGGTTTAGAGTTTAGGGTTGAGGGCCTAGGGTGTAGGGTTTAGGGTTAAAGGAGTGTAAGGGCTCATGGGTTTGGGGGTCTCAAGCTGGCTTGGGGTTTGTTAAGGCGTTGATGTGTCCAGTAAGCCCCGAAAAGCCTGATCCTATACCCTAAACCCTAAACTCTAAACCCCAAACCCCAAACCCTAAACCCTAAACCCTAAGCCCTAAACCCTAAACCCGAATCAAACCCTGCAAGGCGGTGGCCTGGCTCGTCAACTACATCACTTGTGATCTGGCGGGTTCTACCTCAGTGGTCGGGAGCCCGGCAGCAGCTCGATTTCGGAAACGATTCATTGCTCTAATTAGGGATTTTGAGTGGATGTAGGGATTTCTGAAACGATTCATTGCTCTAATTAGGGATTTTGAGTGGATGTAGGGTTGTAACCTAGCTTCTCAGTTGGTAGCCTTCAGCGGCTTTGTGTGTTTTTTTACATCTTACACCACAAAGGTTCCGCAACCTTTTGCCTCTGCAAACTCAGCCTTGAAGTTGGGGCTGAGGATTAGTGTCTTCAAACCGAACCTCAAGCCCCGAATTCTGAAATTTTGAGTAATGGTACCATCCATAAAGCCTAAACCCTAAACCCTCAACCCTCAACCCTAAACCCTAAACCCTAACACTGAACCTTTGTTGCAAGGTGGTCTCCCACGATGCCGCCTTCCTGGACCAGATCTGCACCGACATCATCCACTTTGACGAGGCCCCCGGCAAGCTTTGAAAGGCATGGCTTTAGGGTTTAGGGTTTAGGGTTTAGTGTTTAGGGTTTAGGGTTTAGGGTTTAGGGTTTAGGGTTTCGTTTAGGGTTTTTGGTTTAGGGTTTAGGGTTTAGGGTTCAGGGTTTAGGGCTTAGGGTTTAGGGTTGAGGGTTTAGGGTTTAGGCGCACTTGGGATGCTCTGCTCGACACTCTTGGTCTCGGGATTGCCGCTTGAGCCAGAACCCGCTGCCTTGTCGGAAGTTGAGCCCGAACCTGGCAGTCAGGGTACCAAGCCCTAAACCCCAAACCCCAAACCCCAAACCCCAAACCCCAAACCCTAAACCCTAAACCCTAAACCCCAAACCCCCAAACCCCTAGACCCCAAAGCCCACCCTTCTATGAACCTGAAGCATCAGCGCCCTCACAGTCCCAGCTGAAGTACTACAAGGGGAATTTCAACGAGTTCCGAAAGCAGGCCGGGGGAGCGCGCGCAGTAGCATTTGTAGGGGTTTAGGCTTTAGAAGCTCAATAGGGTTCGTTTAGGGTTTAGGGTTTAGGGTTTAGGGTTTAGGGTTTAGGGTTTAGGGTTTAGGGTTTAGGGTTTAGGGTTTAGGGTTTAGGGTATAGGGTATGGGGTTGGGTTTAGGGTTTAGGGGTTTCAGGTTTTGGGGTTAAGGGTTAAGGGTTTAGGGCTTAGGGCTTAGGGCTTTTAAGGCTTATAGGGTTCATAGGGTTTATGGGCTAATAGGCTTGTAAAGTTGTCTAAGGGCTTCTAGGTCCTACAGGACCTCCCGAGTTGGGAAGGCTTAGCATTGTGGGGGCCTGCGGCTGGGATGTGGAGACGTCAATGCTTGGCAGGGTCTCTGGACTGTCACAATACAGAGTTTTGAGGTTGCCAGGGCTTTGGGAGGGGGTGATCAGGGGCCTTTAGGCCTTCGCCTGGGTTAGGGGTTTGGGGCTTTTAGGGCTTAGGGGTGTGTGGTTTAAGTGGGCCTTGGGAAGTTTCATTGCTCTGTGCTGGGGTTGAAGAGATCTTACAAGCTGGTTTCGTGAAAGAGCTCGGGCTTAGTGTACCGATTTGCCTTGATGTTTTTCTTGTTGGGGGGGGGGGGGGGGGGGGGGGGGGTTGGGCTTTGGGGCACTACTGGAGGTTGAGCTTGGGGCCAAGCAAGAGCCCGAGTGTTAGGGTTTAGGCTTTATACTTCTCTTGTTGCCCGGCACAAGCCTCTTTTCAGGTCATGATTGCGGCTTGGGGCCCAGGATTTCGGGTGCAGGCTAAATCCCTAAAGCCCAAGCCAATAACCCTTAAAACCTAATCCCGAAACCCGAAACCCTAAAACCCTAAAACCCTAAAACCCTAAAACCCTAAAACCCTAAAACCCTCAAACCCTAAAACCCTAAAACCCTAAAACCCAAAAACCCTAAAACCCTAAAACCCTAAAACCCTAAAACCCTAAAACCCAAAAACCCAAAAACCCCAAAACCCAAAAACCCTAAACCCCAAACCCTAGACCCCAGACCCTAAACCTAAAGCCCCTCGTCACCTCTGCAGGTGCAGCTTAGGGACGCGCAGGAGCTCTTGCAGGTGCCTCCGCGGTTTGCGGGTTCAGGAACACTGCTCAGCTTCCTGGGTTTAGGGTTTAGGGGTGTAGGGTTTAGGGTTTAGGGTTTAGGGTTTAGGGTTTAGGGTTTAGGGTTTCGGGTCCATGAAACCTGTTTCGGGATTATGTTTTAGGTTTTAGGGTTCCGGGATTTCCTATAAACCCAAACCGCAAACCTCAAAGCAATCATGACTCCCTTCTTGCGGAAGATGGCGTGCCTCGCCAGACTGAGCATGGGTTTAGGGTTTAGCTCCTTGCCTTCAGTGTTTGGCAGGTTTAAGGTTTGAAGTTGGGGTTTGGTTTCTGGGTTTAAGTCTTGTTTGGAGGAGTTCCGAGGCATTGAAGTTTTAGGCCGGGTGGTGGCGGGGGGGCGCAAGCCCTGAAATGTCTGGCAGATACACCCTAAACCCTAAACCCTAAACCCTAAACCCTTGGACAAGACAGTTTTCTGGTGGTGCAGCTTTTTGCACCAGAGTTTTTCTTGTTGGACGTGGTTCCGGATGAGGGTGGCAGCTGGGACCATGTCCAGGTGGCTCGCGGTCCTTTGTTGACGTACCACTGGGGCCCTGGGCCACTGTGAGCCCTAAAATCAAGTGCCCAGCACCCGAAACCCGAAACCCTAAACCCTAAACCCTAAACCCTAAACCCGAGGAGAACGGTAGCGAGTGCGAAAGGGTGAAGGCCCAGCTGCGACTGTCTACGAGCTGGTGGCTCTGGAGTACCAGATGGAAGACAAGATCTGGACCCTAAACCCAAAACCCTAAACCCTAAACCCTAAACCCTAAACCGCCAAGAAGCACGAGCTGGGAGGCTCTCAAGATGGGTATTTCCCACAATAGGGGGTAACCCCTTTTATACCCCAAATAGAATCGAATCCCCTAAAAGGGACCCCCAACAAAGGGTACCCCGATTTTCGGAAACCCCCAAATGACCCTGAAAGAAGGGTACTTGGAGGTTCAGGGCACCTATTGCCCAATTATAAGTGTAGTGATAACCCACCTATAAGCCCCTGAAGTACCCGAGTACCCGAATAGGGTGATAGTTGCAACCCTAAACCCTAAACCCTAAACCCCTAAGCAGCCTATACAGGTTAATAAGTACCCTGAATCCAAGTACGAGGCTCTTCAGACAGCCAGCGTGGGGCAGCCGGGGCAGCCTATGCCAGCACCACCCCAGCAGCGAACCCTAAGCCCTAAACCCTAAGCCCTAAACCCTAAACCCTAAACCCTAAACCCTAAACCCTAAACCCTAAACCCTAAACCCTAAAAGCCTCAAGCCCTGTGACCTTGAGCTCGCGAACCCCAACACACATGGTCATCCTCCAGGTGCGCTCCAGGGGAGCCAGGGAACAACCTTCCACGACTGTTCCAGAGGTGCGGCAGCGTCGGGGTGAGGGTTGAGGGTTTCGAAATTAGATGGGTTGAGGGTTCAGGGTTTAGATGGGTTGAGGGTTTAGGGTTTAGATGGGTTGAGGGTTTAGGGTTTAGATGGGTTGAGGGTTTAGGGTTTAGATGGATTGAGGGTTGAGGGTTGAGGGTTTAGGGTTTAGGGTTGCGGGTTTCGGGTTGAGATGGACTGAGGGTTGAGGGTTGAGGGTTGAGGGTTGAGGGTTGCGGGTTGAGGGTTGAGGGTTGAGGGTTGAGGGTTGAGGGTTGAGGGTTGAGGGTTGAGGGTTGAGGGTTGAGGGTTGAGGGGTCCCTTACCTGAAGAAACTGAGATTTTGGGGCCGTTGCCGCAAATTCCCTTCTAAGCCCTGCACCCTGGAAAAGGCAGGAAAGAGGAGCCTACAGAGAAAGACACAAAGAAAGATCACGTGCATGGAACAAGAACCAAGAAAATATACTCGAGGTGGGACTCGAACCCGCAATCTCCTCCTTAGGAGGGAGGCGCCTTATCCATTAGGCCACACGAGCTTCAAGCACCACTGAAAAACCCCAACTCTCAAAAATCGAGAGGTCCTTGAAGGGTGCCATCGAGGAAGGGTGTCTTGAAAGAGGGTGAGGCCAAAACAGACAGGGTTACGCCTACATGCATCCCCGACCAACGGCACGACTCCTAGTGCAGCATGCGTCCTCGGCTCCGGATTTCTGACTGTCTTTGCACCACTTAAGACTTGAACGCCCTAAACCCTAAAGGATCCTCCCCTGCACACCTGATGGAGAAGGGAGTATTTACAGTATTTGTCCCAGGGGGTCCATGTACCCACTGGGGCCTTACAAGGGTCTCTATATAGGAGGGTTTAGGGCTTTTATAGGGTTTAGGGTTTAGGGTTTAGGGTTTAGGGTTTAGTGTTTAGGGTTTGGGGGCGCAAGTATTTACGACACAGGTAAACGGTCCATCAGATCAGGGGTCTGCATTCTCAAGTCATGTCACCGAAGCCCTATATAAACCCTAAGCCCTAAACCCTAAGCCTCTAAGCCCCAAGCCCCAAGCCCCAAGCCCTAAACCCTAAACCCTAAACCCTAAACCCTAAACCCTAAACCCTAAACCCTAAACCCTAAACCCTAAACCCTAAACCCTAAACCCTAAACGCAAAGCACCCAAAGCTCTGGACTTCTACAGTGCCTGACGGGTGCTTAGAAAGAGAAGCTGTGTAAACCCTCGGCCTCGGGCCTGCGTGGGAGTAGGTTGGCAGGTGGGTTGTATAGTTTATTCCTCCTCGCTGTTAGGTAGCGAAATGGCCTTAATTTGCGCCAACCGCTCATGTAAGGAGTCCCCTAAACCCTAAACCCTAAACCCTAAACCCTAGATTCGGGTAGATGAGCTCCAGGCAACAAAGGCCGAAGGCAAGATCCCCAAGAGCGGCGAGACATCAGGAGAATCGAGTTGAGGGTTTAGGGTTTAGGGTTTAGGGTTTAGGGTTTAGGGCTTAGGGCTTAGGGCTTAGGGTCTAGGGTTTAGGGTTTAGGGTTTAGGGTTTAGGGTTTGGGTTTAAGGGCTTGGGATTTAGGGTTTGGGGTTTCAGGGAGGGTTCAAGAAGGCTGGGGTGTTAGTAGGACCTCCCAGCTCACGTTCGTACCCAAACTGCAGCTGCTGAATTAGCTCTTGTTTTTCAGGATGTTGGGAGGCACTTTTTGAGGATGTGCAGCTGTGATGTGGCCAAGAAGCCCGAAACCCTGATGCCCGCAGACGAGGGTTGCCAAACACATGGCGGGACGATTGCATCTCCTTGCGACTCTTCGCCTGGCAGCCTGAGCCCTTAAACCCGCCGTTGTTTCATTTAGGGTATAGGGATTTAGCCTCTAGGGTTTAGGGTTTAGGGCTTAGGGTTCCGTTCCTAAATCTCATACATCCGACACTTGGCCCTTGAAGGCCAAAAACGCAAAGCCCGAATTGAAGCCCCCACTGTGGACTGCCATGCCCCTTGGCGCTGTCTCCCTCGCAGGAACACCCGTGCGCGTGGGGCTTCCTGTGCCTGGCAAGGTGGGAGACTTGTCGGTCTCTTGTACGCGGGCTTAATTGAAGCTTCATGGGTACGTATAAGTAGGGTTTTACCCTAAATAAAGTCATAACCATAGTTACCCTATGCTTACAACCTTACTTAGGAGTAACCAACCGAACCTTCAAGTAGGGTTTGAGGTTGAGGTTTGCAGCGTGTTGCACTGGCTGGAGGTTCTTGAGGCCAAAGGGGCTTGTTTCTCACGGACGTTTCGGGAGTTTCAGAGGCAGCCCAATACCCCGTAAGGAACCCTAAACCCTAAACCCTAAACCCTAAACCGTCAACTTACGCCATATAAGGCTCCTTGTTCTGAAAAGAAGCTCTGAAACCTTATGGCCCTGTTGATAAACCCTAAGCCCTAAACCCCAAAACCCCACACCCTGAAATATCCCCAGTAAGGGCGGCCTTGGGGGCTTCCCGGGTTCCGAGAGACCTCTAGATAACCTAAACCCCAAACCCCAAACCCAAACCCCAAACCCCAAACCCTAAACCCGAAACCCTAAACCCGAGACCCTGGAGGTCGAGGGTCTCACGAGCAGCAGAAAGCCGGTCATCGAGCTCAAGGACGTGTCCTTCAGGCCCCTTTAGAGTTCAGGGTTTAGGGTTTAGGGTTTAGGGTTTAGGGTTTAGGGTTTAGGGTTCAGGGTTTAGGGTTTAGGGCATGGTGGTTTGGCGAAGAGATGTTGATTTCCAATAGCCAGAGCCACCCTTCCTGGTCAGTGAAAGACCCACCAAAGCCCAAACTTCGTTTTTTTTGCATAGGCTTTTCCGGGCTTCACTAGGCAGAGCCTTGGGGGATGGTCTATATTTTCCCTTTTTGGTTTAAGAGGATCATATGTAGGAACATCTTTCAGAGGGTTTTTTTTGGGGGGGCCATCCTAGTTCAGGGTCTGGCAAGGTACTTGATGGCCAGCGAGTACATCCTGCAGCATGTCTATGGCAAGGCCCCGGCTCATGCGCGAGTTGCTTACTGCCTCCAGTGCCGTTGCTTCTCATGGTTTAGAGTCTAAGAGTTCTAAGCCCACATAATTGCTCCTAAACCCTAAACCCTAAACCCCAAACCCTAAACCCTAAACCCTAAGAGAGGTCTCAGCGTGAGTGCAACATCGCATGACTGCGCCGTTCGGTTTTCAAGGTCACAGCCATGAGTAGGATCGCCATCGTCGGCCCCAACGGTCCGGGACCAAGACTTGAGAAATAGAATAGGGGTATCTTATTGGCTTACTGGCTCAAAACCCAACTTTTCAACTTTTGGGCTTCTTATAAGGTAGTTTATTCTGAAAGTTTCAACTTTTATTTCCTTGGGTTTTGGGCCAGTAAGTTGGGCCCTCACAATTTGGGGCCTCTGTTTTCGGAAGCCCGCATACGACCTAGATGGACCGCAAATCCTGCTAGTGTACATTTCCTCTCACTCAGTCCCCCAATCAGATGCCCAACCAGCAGTCCTTCCATCGGTTCGGAAGATGGGTGTAGGGTTTAGGGTTTAGGGTTTAGGGTTTAGGGTTTAGGGTTTAGGGTGTGTCAGGGGAGGGCGCGCGCTCGGGTGTGAAACACCCCGGGCCGCGCGCTCGCGTTGCCCGTCAACCCACCCCGGCCACCCAAACTATACTCTATTAGGGTTTAGGGTTTATGGAATTTACTTTCTTGTGCTCTGATGCTTGCTTTGATGTTTTTAAAGTTGCGCTGTTAGGGTTTAAGCTGGGGTTGGGGGTAGCCTCGGCCCTTTTCGGGCCTTCGGCGTGTCAGGGCCCGTTGAGGCCCTTATTTATTTGAAGGTCAGGGAAACCCTTTGTGTCTGCTTTTGGATTCCCCTTCTTTCAGGGCCTCAATTAAGCATCGATTTCACTACCAAAAAATCGCATTTTTCATTGCGGGTACGGGCATCCTGGGGTCCCCTTTCTTTTAGGGGGCCTTTTGAAGCCTTTTGAAGCATTTTGGTGGCTCTTGGGGTCTCTCGGGGCCTTGTTCGGACCTTCGGCGTGTCAGGGGTCGTAGAGGCTTTATTCATTTAAAGGTCAGGGAACCTATTAATGAGTTTTTCGCCAATGAGTATTTCAATCGCTAGGGTTTTAAGCTCGGGTTCGGGGTAGCCTCGGCCCTTTTCGGGCCTTCGGCAAGTTAGGGCCCGTAGAGGCCCTTATTTGCTTGAAGCCCTTCGTAGGGTTTTGCGGTGTTAGGGTTTAAGCTGGGGTTCGGGGTAGCCTCGGCCCTTTTCGGGCCTTCGGCACGTTAGGGCCCGTAGAGGCCCTTATTTGCTTGAAGGCCGTCGTAGGGTTTTGCGGTGTCAGGGTTTAGGCTGGGGTTCGGGGTAGTTTCGGTCCTTTTCGGGCCTTTGGCACGTGGGCCCGTAGAGGTCCTTGCTGATTTAGGGGGAGCCATCGATTTCAATACTAAAATGCGAGCAGGAGGGGTGCCTAAAAACAATGTTTTCAATATTCTCATTGTGGGCACGGACGAATCTTGTGGTCCCCCTTCTTTTAGTGGGCCTTTTGAAGCTTTTGAAGCTTTTGGTGGCTCTCGGCGCTTCTTGAGGGCTTCCTAGGCCCTTAGCCGAGCCCTGGTTGGGGGGGCCCTTGGCAGGGTGTCAGGCCCTTTGGCCAAGGGGCGTATTGTTGGGCCTTGAATCAGGGGTCTTGGCCTTGGCTGGCTTGGCTTGGGGGGCCCTTGGCCTGGGCCCTTGGCTGACAGGCCCCTTGGCCCTTGGGTCCTTGGCCCGAGGGGCCCTTGGCCCGGGGGGCCCGGGGGGGCCCTTGGCCGGGGGGCCCTTCCCGCCCTTGCCCCGGGGCCCTTGGCCCGGGAAGCCCTTGGCCGTGGCCCGCAGGGGCCTTGGCCGGGGGCCCCTTGGCCCGAAGGCCCTTGGTCCGGGGGGCTTGGGGCCCGGACTGCCCTTGGCCCGGGGGGCCCTTGGCCCGGGGGCTTGGCCCGGGGGGCCCCCCGGGCCACCAAGCCGTGAAAAAAGCCCCCAAAACCACGAAAGTGAGCAACCAGCCTGCTTGGACCCCTCGCCAGCCTCCTGGTCCAGGAATCCAGCTACCAGGGACCAGGGGGCCCCCGGAGGGGGGGGGCCCGACAACCCTCCTCCAGAGGCAAAGGGTTACGATTTGGGGTTATACTTTAGCTACGCTAAAGGTGGTCTGGGTGCCGGCCATCCCTTAGCCGAGTACTGACGTTGTCGTAAAAAAAGGCCGATGTCCGTTGGCCTGTCCAGGACAGACGGTGAGGCTTAACCCTCACCTTTCCGTTTCTCTTTTCGCTTGGGCGCTCGGGCTGTAAGGCCCTCGGCCGAGCGTTCGGGGTCTGTCGCTCGACGGAAGCGACCCCTCACTTAGTTTAGGGTTTAGGGTTGGTGCAGACGGTTAAGAACCGTAATCCTCAGAAAATCTCAATGCCATGGCCAGCCCAAGAAAGTAGTTGCAGGCAGAGCGATTAGGGTTTAGGCTTAGGGTTTAGGGTGCCCTCGCCCCGCCCTGCACTGAAGCAATGACTGATGAGACTAGTCCCTTGAAGGGCTATATGGGGGGTTGACGATATTCGGGCTACCTTCTTGGGGTACGTATTACAAAGGGATCCTCCATTAGGGGCCCCTTATTATCGTAAGCCCCCATATGCGGCTAAATATGCGAGGACCTGATTCGGAGCTGTAAGACAAGAAGCAGCAGATGGTTTGTCAGGCCTTGTCTTCATGGACTCAGGGTTTGCCTGACTTCAAGCATTGATGAACAAATCCTTGAAGGTTTGGGGGGAAGACATGTAAGGGTGCAAAGTAAACCCTAGACCCTGGACCCTAAACCCTAGACCCTAAACCCTAAACCCTCGGGGAGTGCTGT